TCCTGCTGAGGTGAGATAAAACATCTGGATAATTTCTAAAATTCTACCCTGTCTGAAGCAAGATTTGAATTGATGGGTAGACAGTTTCAGAAATGGTTTTTCTGATCAGCAGTAAACATGTGGGTGGTTCATCTACATCATCAAACATCTGCAAAGACCCCCTTTTTTTTTTTTCCCAGCAGCAGTCTCTTCTTTCAATGAACCTCTTTTGCTAATGCAATAGCTACAAGAAGCTCTAGGAGTGGAAACTTGAAGTTCAATTCTCTTTTTGCTTAAGGACTCACAAGTAATTACTAAACCTTGATTCATCCCATCTAAATGCAGGCAGCTAGTTGAAGTACCCTCATTAGGCATGTAATTGTTATAAGTTTCCTGTGTAGCCCCTGGAAAGAGGATCTTTGGAGATTAATTCATCTCTCTTGTGGGCTAAATTGCCTCCAGGAAGAGTCTGTCTTGCTCCTAAAGCAATGACATTTTCAGTTTACACACTGCCTAAACTTAGATGGACTGAGAGACATTACAGCCTATTAAAAAGGTGATCTCTTCTGTCTTAGTGAGTTTTTCTTCATTTAATCACAGGAAGGAAGGGTGATCAAGGATTCAAGAGAGAGCTACAGGGCATGTCCTCACATTATTCTTGCTTTTCCTCACGTAACTCTGTGTTCACACCTAGGTTTTAGAAACACCAGACATACCCAATACAACCCAAAACTGCAAAACTCCTCTAATGTCTCACCTAATTTCAACCTCAGTATTAATTCTGGTGCATAAGGAAGATTCAGATATTTTCTGGCAGGCCAAGTTTTATTCAGGAATCATGGTTCATGATCCATACAAGTGAAATGAAACAGAGTATTTTGGATTGAGATTCTCTCTCCAATTTGGAGTTCCTGTAGCCCAAGCAGAAGGAGCTTATTTTCATACCATACACCTGATTTGTCCTGGAATATGACTGTTATGCCAGTGCTCTTGTCCTGTTTCCACAACCTTTAATGGCCCTAATAAACAAAATTCCCATGGCACATTACTTATAATGCCAGCTTTCTAGAAGTAATATACTTTTTCCTGTTGTGTCTTAAAGAAAAGAATGTCTGTCATTCACAACATCCCTGCAGTCTCCACCAGTTGTTTCCCTCTTTATATTCCTTTTTCAGTTGCTAAGATGATGCTCAGCTTAGCTTGTGAGACCTGCTAAAGCCACAGCACAGGATCCTACAGATGTGGAAGGCAGCAAGGAAAAGACTGAATTTGTCAGAGCTCTTTTGAAGCTGTCTGTAGTACTGAGCACTTCACAGGTTGTCCCATCCCTGAGATGAGCCTGTAGCTTTTACCCAGCAGATTCTGAAGTCAGGACAAGTGGAACCTTTTACTTTTGGTTCTGTTTGTGAAATGCTGTGCATCATGAGCATCTTGTCTGGCTCTCCATGTGCACCATAAACTGCTAATGACGGACTCCAGCAGAGTATTTGTGAGGGAAGAAAGTCCCTCATCATCTTTCTTGGGGCACTGCCAAAGCCACCATGGCTATCACTGAGATCATCAGCAGAGCTAGGCTGAGATTAGTATGACTGGTTAAACTGAGACGTGCATTTTCATCATAAACCCCAGGACAACAGCTCTGTCTGTCATAACAGATCAGAGACCAAAGGCAATTCAGTTCCTCTGCTTTGACAAGTCACCATCTGCCAGCCAAGTTGTGGTAACTGACAGCAACTTGTCCATGGTGAGGGTGGGATGAAAGGCACCACAGCCTCCTCGGAGTGCCCTGGAGCACACTTTCCATTCCAAGTTCAGGCCTGAAAATGAGAAATTCAAGGCCAAAGGCTAAGTAGGGGAAGCCATGTCCTTCAGGGGTTTTGGCATTTCCCCCAAAATGGCATTTGGGCTCTATGAGATGAGGACACACTGTGAAGGGTCTGTTTGCTTGCTTTAGATATTCAGAGAGAGAGGATCATCATAATAACAAGGCATTAACTAGAAGTGGGCTAACTGCTGAAATTTGCAGGGAAAACCACTTGGAAGCAGTGTAAAGCTCCCTGCCATAAGTGATTCCTCTGGGGCAGGCTCTTCCTTTCCATTGCAGCTTGCTTGGCTCAGCCCATCTTTAATGCAGAGGTTTACATCCTAGAGATGACAGAAAAAGAGTTATTCACCTCCCCATGAAGGATCCTGGTAGGAACAAACAAGAAAATTCATATCAGGATTTACCACAGAAAAAAAATTGTGATGAAAATTTCTAATGAAAAATTGAACCCTGGAATATTTTAAATAAGCTGGAAATATTTGTTGTGGGAAAAGCTCTTGTCCTTCATGGAGACACTGTCTGGAGTATCTTAAATTCCTAATCTGTCACAATCAGTCCTTGACTGTGGTGCTCTGTCAGAGCTGTTAGCTAGTGGAGAAGTTCAAACCACAGAGGAACATGAGGGCATGAAGAATTTGAATTACAGCTCCTTGAGGAGACGATATCTGATTTGAAATTTTGTGGAGATTTTGTAACTTAGTAGTTTTTGAATGAGAATGGAAGAGTTCCTGGAAAGAGGGATTTTTTCATACCCAAACATGCACGTTTAGCAGGAGTTCTTTTAAAGTCAGTTTTGATGCCATCTTTGCCACCAGCCCTACTATGAACCTTGGCAGTCTCTTGAGGCCCCAGCTAAAAGCCATTAAGATGAAGAGGAAGGCCTGTTTCACTTTACTAACTGTATTTTAGGCCATGGTTTCTATCTATAGTTTAAGATGTATTAAGCTCATTGTTTCCCTATATTCCCCCACCTCTTGAGATCAAAAGTTAGGTTTCTCTTAAGCCTTAATTTGTGCTTAGCCTCTCTTGAGCTGTCTTTCAGCAGGGTGCAGTGGAGCTCCAGGCCATGTTTTTTCAGCACACTGATAATATGAGTAAATAATAAGAACTGTAACTGTTATAAGACTGTTGGCCTTGTCAATGAGAGGCATTCTCATTGACCAAGGGCTTCTCCTTTGCTGGCCAGTAACTGTCTCCACTTATTTTGTGTTCTGCGTTGTGTAGCCCTGGTGCAGGTTACGGCTGGCGTATGCCAGAAGGAAAGAAGGTTTTCACTCCTTCTCCCCTCTACGTTTACAGCACTGTGATAAGTCCAAGACAGAGGCTCTGGAGGATGATGAGATAGAGGAATTTTACAAGATACTGACAGAAAGGAAAGAAATAGACAAGATCTTCCAAAAGTACTCAGACCCAGAAGGGTTCATGTCCTGCCAGAACCTGGTGAGGTTCCTCTATGAGACGCAGCAAGAAGAAGATGCTGTTGTTGCTGCTCCTGCCTTAATTCAGAGATATGAGCCCAATGAAAGAGGTAGGTTGGAAACCCTGGATGGTTTGGTTCAAAATCTTGCTTTCTTGATGAATGAACTATGAATTGTTTTACTGTTCCTTTAGTCTGCAGCCATGTGTGTCATTTTCTCCTCACAGCTGCTTCTAAAACACCAGTTTTCTAGGGGAAAATTGGCATCTTTAGGAGAAGAGGGCACAGGAGAGCATGGGAAATATTACTCTTCAATTTTGGCTTGGGTACAAGCAGCTGGAGAGGGATTGATACAGAGTTGGTTAGAAGGTGAGGAAATTCCTAAGTGCTTATTAAATGGGGCTCTGATGGCTTGTTGAAATGTCATGTGGCTTTGAAAGGTTGAAAATGTAGCAATATTTCTCTTCTCAAGAAGAAGAAATGGGGGGAAGTGTTTTTGAATGTGGACACCTGAGAAGCCACTGGGTGGTGAGGTCTCTGAGTAGAGGGCCAAGAAGGTGACAGCTGTTCAGGAGAGCAACCACAGAACTGCCTTTCTGCTCAGAAATTAGGGCAGTCACCAGTCTGGGGCACCTTGCAGGACACGTTCAAGAAACAAACACAGGATCATAAGCTGTGTTAGCACTATCCTGGCACACCTTCAGGAGAGGAACAATGCTTTGTAGATGTCAGACTTGGGGATTAGACTGAGATCTAGCTCAGTCCCTGAGGATGAAAAGACCCAAATTTCTCCCCAGAGCTGCATTATTTTCTGTTTACTCTTTGTAAATCATTGGATAATCTACACAGGATTTATCTGACTGTTTAGACATCTGACAGCTTCTCTGTGTTGGCATGGAGGAAGCTTGAAGTGCTCAAATGGAGATCTTTAGACTGTAGGTCTCTAGGGACAGGTGAGATAAGTGCTGTCTCTGACACTTTTAAGGTGTTCAAGGACAGTAATTGTCACAGAAAGCCATACTGGTGAAGGGATTTTAAAAGCATTTTCTGGCAGGTGAAGCTGTCCTCACCCTCTGAACAGCACCAGTATCTTTCCTATTAGCTGAATGCCTAGGGAGCATGTTTTTCCTTTGAAATCCTCTGGAAGAGCAGCAGGCATCATGGTGAAGGTGATGGCACAACCTGGTGGTGCCAGACTTTCAGTGTGGGGTTTCTGTCTCTTTATCTGGCAGCCAAGAGGGGTAATGCCATGACCAAGGATGGTTTCCTGATGTACCTGCTGTCTGATGATGGGAATATATTCAACTCCGCCCACCGTAAAGTTTACCAGGACATGACTCAACCTCTCAGTCACTACTTGGTGTCATCCTCACATAATACCTATCTTATGGAAGACCAGCTCACAGGTCCAAGCAGCACAGAAGCCTATATCAGGTAACATGTGTGTGTATTTATGTGTGTGTGTGTCTCTGGGTGTGTGAGAGGTTAACCTCTTTCTTACAGAAGACATGGGGTTCATTTATAGATGCAAGAGGACCAAGAAGCAATCTTCCCCCCTGAGACTAGGTCATGTGGACTGGCCCATGGTCACATCAGGCTGAACTCTTTCTAAACCAGGTTGGCCATACACCCTTTTCACAGCATTTTGCCCTGAGTCTCTGCTGGGCCCCATGTGGTGTCCACCTGACTGCAAGATGTGCAATTACTTCATTTGGGATTAGGTTTAAAGTGCCTGCAGTGGTGTGGAGGCTGGATTGCAGCCCTCTAGCATGGTGCTTTCAAAGCATGACTCTGAGGGGCTATCTTGCATTCCCCAGAATGTGGCATGAGATCATGTACACAAGGAGCTTACAAGTTGCAAAGATTTCTAGGCTAGGCTGCAGGACTGTGTAGGGGCTGGAAGGTGCCAAAATGATGCATACTGTCATGATGTTTGTGATCCTTGCTGCCTTTTGGGAGATGCCCCTGTTTTGACTATCCCTAGAACCATGTCAGGGTTTATTTTGGAGAGACCTAGGTGGAGGTTTCCACCTAGGAGGTTCTTTTCCAAAAAAAGAAGTGGGATGGGAGCTAATGAAGCAGGGTGTGGGTGAACAGAAAACTTACACCTGGTCCCTCTTTAGCAGCTCAGATGCTCTCACAGCATCCCTGGACAGAACATGAGGTGTTGCCTACTTCTGCCTCTAACAGCTGCTGTCTGTTGTCTCATGGCCAGATGTTTGAAGTGGCCTTTACAAACTTGCAGAACCATCTCATGTTGTGGGTGCCCCATCCCTGGAAGTGTTCAAGGCCAGGCTGGAGGGGGCTTTGAGCAACCTGCTCTAGTGGGAGGTGTCCCTGCCCATGGCAGGGGGGTTGGTGCTAGATGAACTTTAAGGTCCCTTCAAAGCCAACCCATTCTAGGTTTCTATTGCAATGTGTTAAAGGAGTTGTGTTGTCTGAAACACATTTACTGTAAAAGAGACAAGATCACCTCCTAGACAGATAAGTCTGTACAGGGGGAACCTACATTTGAAAGTAAATTAAAATGAAAGTATGAATCTGTAGAGGTGGGAGTTTGAAGTGGGAATTCAGTCTGTGGGCTCAGTTTGGGAGTCTGGCCCTCACCAGTCTCCCCAGCTAAGGGAGACTTCCCACAGCTCCCTGCCTGAGAGCTCTGAGGATTCATCTCTCATGTTTTGTCAGACCTAGATGAAGAAGTCACATCACCCAGGGTTTGTGACCTGGCTTCTGTGTCCGACTCTCTTCCAGCACAGATGCTCTTGGTTTTCTCTCCTCTTTATCATCTTTGGGAGAAGACTTGGGGCACATCCTGAGTGTCCTTTCTTATCTGGCATTCACTAAGTCTTCTTCTTTGGACAATTCTTACCTTGGACTTTCCCTGCCTGCTTTCTCAGATCCCACTGTGCTTTCCTTGCTCAACCCTGAGCTCTCTTTGCTGACTCTGAGGTCTACTGATCCCATCCTTTCTCCATATGCTTTCCTATTTTTCCAAGCTCCTCTTTTCTCCTTTACTCCTTAAACTTCCCATCATCCTTCCCAGGCAACACCATGCCTGATGCACCCTCCTTTAGAGATGGAGCAGAAGGTTTAGAAACCAACCAGGTCCCTTCTTTGTTTCCAGAGCCCTCACCAAAGGCTGCCGCTGTGTGGAACTGGATTGCTGGGATGGCCCTAACTCAGAGCCTGTCATTTATCACGGCTACACTCTCACCTCCAAGATCCTCTTCAGTGATGTCATTAAGGCCATCAAGAACTATGCTTTCAAAGTAAGGATGAGGGGCCCTCTAAGATTTCTCATGCTGCACAATCCAAGACTAACTAGGTCTCTGGCCTCTCAGCAGAGAGTGTAAACAATGAAAACTTCACTGTAGCATTTCTTAGGGGTACAAGATGCGTCCTTCTCTCTGGGCATTGATGTTCAGCTTCCTGCAGAGATCCCTTCCTGGGAGCTGCTGAACAGGCAGAGCAGTATCTGAGAATGGGTTTGAATCTATCCCAGCTTAGCTGCATCCTGGACCCTGCTGCAATGAAAATAATGCCCAGTATCTTGAGCATGCCTGGTGTGAAAGGCAGACCAGCCCATGATTTGTGTGGCTTTGATCTCTCAGGGTCCGTTCCTAGTTTAGAGGAACCCATGTGCATATGTTTTGGAGGCACTGATGCAAAGGACTGCTTCTATTCTGCTTTGAAAGGAATGAGCAGATCTGGAGGTTCCTATGGCACTGCTGGACCAGCAGCCCTTAAAAAACTTTGGGTCTGTCCAGACTCGGGGGGGGCTTTCTGCTCTTTTCTGTCAGAGCACTTGAGAGCTAGTGTCAGGTTTCCTTTGGGGCTAGAAAGCAGTGACAATGACAATGCCTTCAGCACACAAAATGACTGGAAGGGCCACAGGGAACCAGACCAGAGCTGTGCACAAATTTAGGGAGGATTCATGTCACCAAAGGCTTTGAGCAAACGAAGTGATTTCAGAGCTCCCTTCCCCATCCTTCCTCTGCTCTGATCCACAGTGCCAGTGGAGACTGGGGGTGCAGGGAGCCTCATCAGGGGGTCCCAGCAAGTCTGTGGGAGGCATCCTGACCCAGCCTGGTGCCCTGTCTGTTGAGTCATCATCTCTGGAAGGCATCAGCAGAGCTCTGAGTAGCTGCTGCACAGTTAAATTTGTCCATTTTTACAAATGCTCATTTTAGCAGAGTACTAGACCCTGCTGTTGACACACTCGTTTCCAGAGAAGCAGCACAGGGGTTTATATCAACTGCTATAGACTGGTGAAATTGTAGAGTTCACTGAGGAGCTGTTGCTGTCTTGTTCCAGACCTCACAGTACCCTGTCATCATCTCCCTGGAGAACCACTGCAGCGTTGACCAGCAGAAGGTCATGGCCCAGCACATGACGACGATCCTGCAAGACATGCTGCTGGTTGCCCCTGTGGATGGCAACAAATCCCAGTTCCCCTCCCCAGAGGTAAGCACGGCCACGCCAGTACTTTGTCTTCTGAAGGTGGGACAAGAGAGAGGTCTGTCTTCTTGCTGGGTGCCCAGTAGTGGACAGTGTGTCTGAGGACTGGTGGGAACAGCAGTTGCTGAGGAACAGATGTTGTCTGTTGGCAGCAGTGGAATAAGAAATGAGAGTATCTGGAAGCAGCCTGTGCACATCAAGCCCAAAAGGCCCTGTTGCTCCTTGTTTGTTCTCTAACTCCTCAGAGGAGACATCCTTGCAGGACTGAGGACAGTCCTAGTCCATTGACTGAGGCCAGGGAATGTCTGTCATCCCATGAGGAGGTTGCTTTTCTGGCTTGTCCTAGAGGACCTGAATTCTGAGAGTCTGTCTTGTGTCCATTCCCCACACTCCAAAGCTGAGCATGACCTTCTTCAGGCTGGTTCTCCAAAGCAGTGTTAGCCTGCTGCACGTGCAGGGGAGATGAGCACCACAAGGAGTGACTGTTAGGTGTCTCTCTGTTTTTAATCCAGCAAGACTGGACACTGCCTGATTTCATGGTAGGCGAGATGTTTGCTCCATTCTAAAGATGTAGCATATTCTCCCCTCCTCCTTTAATGCTTTGGGTGCTCTACTGTGGAGGTCCAGAGTGCTGATGAGGGCTGGAAGGACAACTGAGATTGCTTACCCCTCAAAACTCAAGGTAGAAAATGGCACAGGTAGACTAGAACTGTATCAAGCACCAAGTGTCCTCCCACTGAGAATGGCCTGGGGTGGTGGGGATGGAGGTGTCCACGGAGGACAAGGGGAGGCAGGAGGATGCATAGAGATGCCCCTTTGATTCCCACGAGTCAGGGCAGCCATGAAGCTGGGAGCTGAGCTTGGACCCTGCAGAGGGAAGGAGATGCACAGCCCTTAACAGCAGACCACCACTATGAAACCACTAGCTGAACGTCAGAAAAAAATGGAAAAGGAATGTTGATAAGAACAAGGTAATTGTTTCTAAAACAGAAGCTGAAATGAAGCATTCGTCTGCTTCCACCCCTTGGGTTTGTGTTTTCTTTCTTTGTTTTCTCTTAGGCACATTGCATAAACAGACCTCTGTGTGGATAGCTGCAGTTCCCTTTAAATTGCATTTCTTTGCTCAAGAAATCATTTGCCAAAAATTGGATGAGCGTAGCCACAGCTGGAAGGAGTTTGTGGGTGGGATAAAGCTGGCAGTCAGCAGGGGAGAAAGGAGAGGAAAACAATCCACCCAAAATATCTTCTATATTTGTTCTCCCTCTCCCTTTTTCTCTTTTCCCTTTCTGCCTTTCCCCTGGTGTTTGGGAGTGTCATGCCTCGCTGGATACAGCACCTAGCACAGAGGGAAGCTGATCTGGGCTGGTCCCTAGGCACCAGTGCAATAAATTAGGATGAATCATAACTTTTAATGCTGCTGCTTCAGCAGGACCTTTGCACTGGCAGAGACAAGGTGTCTCCATTTAAGAAGAGACTCTCCCAGGGTGAGGATACACCCAGCATGGAGACGGGTCTCTGCAGGCTGTGACCCAGCTGGAAAAATCAAAGTTTCAGTGTCAGCTCTTGGCTTGCTATTTATCCTCAGTAAAGGATCAGGAAAGCTGCTGATGGCTTTTCAAAACACTGCACTGGGACCAGGGGGACGATACGAAGCAAGGAAGGAGAAACACCAGGGAAGGAAATGTGTGATGTGGGTGTAAGGGAATGACCCCAGCCTCCCCAAAACGTTTTTTTTTCCCATTCCTGTGCTCATTTAACCTCCTGCTCTGACTGCCCAGATGGACACGTGGCCCCAATTGGAATAAAATGGCCTAGATCTACCTTAGTGACTGGATTGGGGCTGATACGGTCTGTTGGAAGGACTGATCCATTTATTTTAAAGAGAGAAAAAATTGCCAGTGTAGCAAAGCCTATCCTTTTCCCTCTGGTGCTTTTCCTCTTCAGCCCTGCTGTGTGAACAAGGAGAGTGCAAAGGGCTGAACTGCTGATTGTTTTTGGTGGAAAACACACTGAGGCTGAAACGTTAAGGAAAAATAAAACCAAACCAGAAGCCTCTTGGATTTTCCACTTCTTTGTGAAGCTGACACAAGGAATCCCAGAACAATGTAGTGTTTTTAATATTAGAAAAAGGGTGGGATCTGTCACTGGGAAGAGGGCTGAGGGGCTGTGAATGAGACCAGGCAAAGCATTGCTGCAGGTTGTGTCAGCAGGGCAGTGTCAGGAGTTAACGGAAGATCGACACTGTTTGGATTAGTGTTAACGATTCATACCCCAGCCCGGGGCAAGCAGCTGATTTATCAGGCTCCATTCAGGAACAGTGCTGGACTATACAGAGCATCTAAATATCTCCCTCAAGCTGCTATCTTTAGGTCTGAATAGTAAATTAAAGGCCTATAGGATGAAAGGCCAAAAGCCACATGAAAGCTCCAGGCGGTACCAGGGTTGTGGGGAAGAGCTGAGCCAGTCTCTGCTGCTGGTGGCTTGTTGCAGGTCCTTCTGCCCCATCCCTGTTCTGCACAGGGGTCTGCCAGGGCCCCTTCCCCTTCTCCCAGCATCCCAGATAGAAATGCTGCAAAACCCCAGCCCTGGAATGAGGCTAAAACAGCTGCCAGTGGTGCTTGCAACTATTCAGTGCATCAGGACTATCTGAAACCCCTCCAGCTCTTTGCTCCTGAGCTTCCTAGTTTACAACAACGATGTCTTTGGGCTTAACAGACCTGTCTTGGTGGGTGACCCTCAGCAACATGAACCCCCCTAGCTGGGAGGCCAAGTGCATTGTCAGGGGACTCTGCCATCCCACACCTCCAGTGTCCCACCCGCTGCCCCATCGGTCACATCCATCGCTGTGTCCAGTGCCCCCTTTCAGCACCACTTTGAGCCTCTTCCAGAGTGGCACTGGTGGGCTGTGAGGGCCCAGCACAACTGGAGTGAGCAGCAGGGTGGCTGACCTGCTCTGCCCTGGTCAAGGCAGTGAACACCTCTAGATTGGGCTCAGCTAAGGCCAGACCAGGTTCAGTCACACGTCCCTCAAGTCAGCAGTGAACCTCAGGAACTGTCTGCCCAGGAGAATTACTTTTACACCATACACTTGGAGTGAAAGTGGCTTCAGGTCCTTCTGACCTTCTGCCTAGCTGCACATCTATGTGTTTCTCCAGTGTTAACCCACCTTGTGTCAATCTTTTCTGCAGTGCATCTTCTTGACTGAAGTTCCTGAGTTGAGTTTCCCTCAAATAGTTCAAAATCTCCTTTGATAATGTGTTTACTTTTCTGGAGACTCTCTCAATCCTCTGTTCCTACTCTCTGCTAAACCCTCCAACACTTCGGTTTACAACGAGGCTGAAAGACACTCAGATGGAGATGTGATATCTCTGAGTGCATCTGACCTGCACATCTCCTTGTGAATGGGAGCGTGTTCTTCCTCACAGCTTCTCAGAAATTTGGGAAGATGGATAACTTCATCCTGAGAGTGCAGTGCTCAGGCCCTGTGTGTCCATGTACGTGGGCACTTCACTTAGGGCTCCTTTTGAGAAACAGGTAATACAATCAGGGGAGTTGGAGGTTTGGTCCACCTCCTTAGAAGTGTTTGTCTAAAGAAGAATCACACCCTGGAAGTGTTTACTTCTCTCTGTTGACTCTAAGGGATGTGTTGAAGGCACAGAAAATTTGATGAGGTGGATCACGTTACAAAATCTTCCTCTTCCACTGAGGTGAAAATGAGAAATCAGGCCTTGCCATGGCTTTCAGGTTACCAGCAGGGACAGGAAACTTTCAAGTAGAATAAGCATGTGTATGCACATCTTTTAATGTCTCCTGCTCTTTACAGCCTTGCTCCTTCTGATAAGGTCAGCACTGCTTTTGTTTGAGGTGGTTGCCATGTCCCAGTTCACCAACTCCCAAAGGAAGCAAAGCCATGAATCAGAAGTGTTTCATTTGCAGAGTGCAGTAGAAAAGCAGGAGGGCAGGATCCACTTGTGGAGAACTAAGGCAACACAATAGAGTTGCATCTACTCCAGCAGCCACTCCACTGTGGTGGAGTACTGGTTCTCAGTAGAGTCCAGTGTCCTTGTAGCCTTTCCTTAGGTTGTATTCAACCTTGGGCTTCCCACAGGCAGTTGGAATAGCCTTGCAGTCTACTTGGAGAATATTTATTGTGTATTTCTGCTAAGGCTTCTCCCTAAGACAAGGGATCTGCTCAACAGAGCTGAACTGATGAGCTGAGTGTCTTTCACCTCAGGCTAGAAATACTGAGTACCACATGAAGGGGAAATCAAGAGAGATGGAACAAGTCTGTGTGTTTGTGTCTGTGTTTATCAGCTCATTTAAAGACTCGCAGAAGAAGGTAAACACTCAAATTTAGGACTTGAGTTCCATGCACCCATATTAAAGGAAGGAAGACAATGTTTGTGGCTGGCAGCTTCTCCAGGGTGGATTCAATGCAATGCTACTATAGGGTAGCAACTTCTGCAGGAAATGGAGATGAAAATGCTTTGGTTTGGGGGTGAATCTCACCAATAAGCTGAGGCACCTCCTCTGGAGTTGGGTGGCACAGGGAGTGCTCTGCAGTGTAGGCACAGTGGAATGCTAAACCTCTGCAATGCAGCAGGGCTCCAGAAGGGAGCCAGCCTTTTGGGTTTTGAGGCCAAAGGGAACGACTGTAATTGCCCTATGGAGAGTCTTGTACAACACAGCCCTGGCTGACCAGTGTCCCTGTGCCCATGGGGAGCATCCAGAGAATTTCCAAGGTTTCCCAGAGCAATCTCAGTCTAGATAGGATAACAGCAGCACCGAGGACCCACTGCTGGTAGCCCTGGTGTGGAGTGTGGTGAGGAGACACAATGGGGGCTGTGTTGCTGTGCCTTCACTGGTGATGTTATTCAGCCCTGTAGGATGGGTCTGGGCCAGAATTAAACTTCCCACTTCCTGGACAGTCTGTCCTCAACTGGAGAAGCTTAAAAAGGGCTAGTGGCCCTACTGGTATTGGAAATTCAAGCAGTCTACCCCAAGTACCTCATCCTTAGTTCTCTACTATTGAGCTGTGAGATGAGGTGGTAACATTCCTTATGGGACATTGGAAAGCAGAGGCAGATAATATATAGCAGGATACTATCTGCAGCCTGCGGAGGACAAGAAGAACTTCCCTGAGCCCCTTCTCACTGTCCCTAGTGCAATCCCTCCAGCCTTGTCCATTCAAGGGGTTGACTAAAGCCTAAAAGCTCACGTGGAACTGGATTTCACCTCCTGCCAAGGAGTGTTGTGGAAGAACAGTGAAGAGCTGGATGTTGAGGCAGGAGGGTGAGAAGGGCCATGAGAGCAGTAGACTGAAAGTGAGACTCTGAAGATGAGCCAACTCATCTCCCAGCCATGGATGTGAAGGAGCAGGTCACAGCTCTGCCTGGAAGAGTGCTGAGGGGCTGGGGAAGGGGAGGAGGATACTGCTATGCTGACTGCTCCTTTGGGCCTTTTATTCCCAGTAACTGATCCATTTCTTCCAGCTGCCTTTGTGTAGCTTTTGAGTGACAGGGAAAGTGCCCCAATGTAAAGAGATCACTTGTGGTAGCTGAAGAAAAATGGTCTTGGCTGCTGCCTTGAGTGCCAGAGTCAAATTTCAGCTCAAACCAAGCTTCATCCACAGCTTAGCTGGATGAGGAGCTGGGCTGGTCTCTGCAAAGGTATGATGCAATTTACTTGCACCCATGAAGGGGGCATTGTGTTCCTTGAAAATGCCTGTGCCACTTCATGGAAGATCTCTGGTTTTCCACAGCCCTGTCATTTGGGAATGGTGGGGTTTGTTGCTCCTGCTGCTGTGGAAAGGGTAAATACAGTGTTGCTGAGAAAGGAGGAGGGTGCTGCTCAGGACTGAGGGGTTGTATTGGCTGACTCTGAGATTGCATTTCTCTGGAATAACTAACACCCTCCAAAGCCAGGAGCACTGGATGCATCCAGATGGCAGCAGATCTCCCACTGGCTTCACTGGAAGCTGCAGGGTCTAGAGGTGCTCCTGGTTGTGAGGCATAGCTTGCTCACTTAGAGACTGCAAGCTGGCAGTCACCCTTCCCAGTACTTCTCCCTGCTGCCAGCATCACTGCTGCCTTCTTTGGGTTCAAAGTCAGCCCTCTGCAGGCATCAGCCTTTCTCCTGTGCTCAGGTCTTGCACAAGAGATACATCAGTGGTGTGGTGGTCTGTGAGCAACCGTGCACTGCTGGTGTGTTCCTTCATCTGAGGGCTTTGTGGGGGCTTTGAATGAGGCTGGAGAGACTTGATTCAGCACAAGGAATGTGCTCCTTGGCTTAGCTCAGCAGCCAGCTGTGTTAGGTTGGCACGTGCTGCTGGTTATGGTTAATGTTGTACCATGGTAGCAGTCACCAGAAGCTCTTTTCAGAAGAAGAGGTATCTTTGGGAAAGGTTTGGGAGCTCTTCCTTAGGCTGTCAGCACCCTAAGGTTTCACCTGCAAGATCCTTTACATATTAAAATCCCAGGTTTGCCATGCCTGAGGTACCTGTCCAGAACTTAGTGGACCTCTCTCCCCATTAAGATGGAGCAGAGGGCTTCCCTGGAAGATCCCTGCATGGATCTCACACCATGTCACAACTTGTGCATGTGTTTGTAACCATGCGCTGCAGAGACCAGGGTAGAGGAGATAACAGGGACACCCAGAGGGACAGAAACAATGCTGTGAGTGCCTCCATGAGCCCTGACCTCCAGGCTTGGCCTTGCTTGCTGGGCCATGTTCAGATTTGGGAAAAACCTGTATATTTTTATTGCCTCTAACTGCACAAGAGTTTAAGTCATCTAGCTGAGGGGATGATCAGTTCTGCATCAAAGGAGAATAGGTGGATTATCTGGGTTTTCAAACTTGTGGTTTGTGCTCTCAGAGGCTGGCCAAAGCCTCAGTGGAAAACCAGACTTATTTTTCACTATATCCATGGATAATAACCAGTGATTTATGCAACTCTGAATGGCCCTGGCCCTACTTGCAGCTGAGGAGCTGTTACATCCTTGCTCCTTCAGGGTGGGCCAGAACTCTTTCTAATCACCAGCTTTTTTTTCCACTTTTCCCTGTGCAGCAATTGAAAGGGAAGATCCTTGTGAAGGGCAAGAAGCTGAGCAGGCAGGAGGACCCCACTGAAACAAATGGGAACAACAACTTGGAGGCTGAGGATGTCTCTGATGAAGATGAGGCAGCTGAAATGGAAGATGAATCCGTCAAGACCAAGATAGAGCAGAAGGGGAAGGTAAGGGAAAGAAGTAACTGACTCCCAAAAAGGGGCAGACCTGGAGCAGCAGAAAAGCTATAAACAAGACCTTTGCCTGCTGCAGAAGGCTCTGAACTCCTACATCAGGAAATCCTGTCTTGTTAGCCTAGCCCATAACTCTTGCTGGGAAACCTCTTTCTAGGTGGGTTTTGTATCATGCCTAAAAAAAAAGACAAAAAAGCAAATGAAATATACTTTTAATATGTTCCCAGCTAAGACAGCTTTCAGCTACTTTTCTGGTGATATATAAGAGTGAAGTGTTGGAATTGCTGGAGCTAAGGATCCTGGTCCTCACTCAGCTTAGTGATCTCTTTTCCAAGCACAGACAGAGACCTTGCAGAGCCAGCCAAGAATGAACGGGGGCTTCTTTCCTTCAAGTGAGGCTGGAAGACCCTGCAGCTGGGACAGATCATGTAGCATTTATGGAAGCAATGGGAGGGCACATGTTCAATCCATCTCTGTCTGATTTCCAGACATCTATTTGTCATGGGACCATCATGACTTTGTTTATTTCCAGAGACTGGTGCTTCTCTAGTGACATTTTGGTACATACCTGCACTCTCACTGGTCATGATTTTCTGACCCACAAGAGGGAGGCAAGAATTATGGCTCTATGGGGAAGGGGTGGCTGGATACCAAAGCAATTGAGCTGACTATTTCTGTGAGGAAAGGCTGGTCTTTACACCAATGTTTTTCTCCTTTATGTGGGGACATCCATTTTTCCAGACTGCAGGTCATATCCCTTATGGACCAGGTTCACTGGTGATATAAATACAATCAGTCCCACAGATGGCAAAGCTGCAGAAAGCAGCAGAAAGGATATCCCACCAACAAAGAGAGAATCCATCTGGAGAACATCATACAACAAGGGTGGTGGCACAGCAAAGCATCTGTTGTGTGAAATCCTCCCTTAGCTCACCAATACAGTCCGACTGGGTTGGTTGCTACTGTTTGTAGCCAAAATCACTTTTGAGTTGTGATAGTCAAGCTGAAACATTCACATAATAACATGCAAATAAATGCAGAAGGAGGGGTGGCCCAGATGAAACGTCCTTGGTAGTAACACTTGGGAAGTCAGTGATATCATTGGACAGGCCAGGATGGGCTTGAGAGGGCAGCTGGTGCTCTGCCAAGAGGGATTAGCACTCTCCCTGCAGGGTGAGGGGCACAGCAAGGTCAGTCTGCCTCCTTTCCACCCTCTTTCTGCAGAAGGATTCCACTGAATGTTGGTAGTGTGCATCCTTTTGATGTGAAGATGGTGGAGAGGAGAAGCCCCAAAGCTCCTAGACAAAACATGATTATTACTTTTGAGTATGACTGCTGAAACTCCCCACAAACCTCTTGCTCTCCTGCTTTTAGAGTGACACCTTGAAGTTGGCCAAGGAGCTGTCAGACACAGTTGTCTACTGCAAGAGTGTCCATTTTGATGGCTTTGAGGACCCCAGCCACCCTCGGGCTTTCTACGAGATGTCCTCGTTCACAGAGAGCAAAGCTCTGAAACTAGCCCAGGAGTCTGGTATGTATGTCCTGCCCTGGCAAAAGGCCACCCTCTGTCCCAGTCCCTCCTAAAGGGTCAACAAGTGGTGGTTAAGCATGAGGAAAAGGCATCCTGAAAGATGTGGGTTGTGATCCCTTTGGTCATGCACGTTGCTGAGAAGCAGTGGGAATAACTTAGCATCACAGAGGCTGTTATCAAGGAGTTCACCTTCAGCTAGACTCACTAGGCAGAGGTCTTCATGTAGCCTCCATCATTAAAAGGGCCATTTTGTTCTTTTATTCCTGTAGGAACCAGTTTTATTCATCACAATGTCAGGCACCTGAGCCGGATCTACCCTGCAGGCTGGAGGACAGATTCTTCCAACTACAACCCCATCGACTTGTGGAACGTCGGCTGCCAGATTGGTGGGTGCAGCTGGGATGCTGGAGAGGGTCAGCTTGGCTGGGTCACCCATGCCCTGGCTGTGGAGGGGCTGCAGTTGAGGTAGATGAGTGCTCTCAAGCTATTTGCAGCTTGAGAAGCTCAGTGGTCACTGGGACAGATCAGCTCTTCAGCCAATGCTCAGTGACTTTTCATGGACCATTTTCTGGCTGACCTCAGAAGCTTGAGGAGAGCCTTTCCTGCATGGCAACATTCACATCCCTACAATTCCACTGGAAGCAGTTATCACCATTTAACAAAGCAGGAGGGAGCAGGGAGTTACAGTCACTTACTGAAAAGTGTGCTGAAATGTCTGGCAGGGATGTGAATCAAACTTGGCCACCTTGAGTCCTAGAGCAGGGCCATAACCATAAGGGCCAAGCCATGGCCTGAGCTCTTCTCTGTGGCCAAAGCAGCATGTCATACCTACTCCAGGGCATTGTGGGGCCCTTGATGGTAGATTGATGTCTCAGAGATTTGATGAAAACAATGGTCCTGCAGCCTGTTAAGTGAATTATGTTGTAGCTCTCATCCAGGTTTGACATTAATGCTTTTAAAAAGATAATGGCAAACCAAAAAAGAGTATAAGAGAGCCTGATGTTAGGACACCAGCGAGGCTTGATCTCTTTTTGGGCAAGAGACAATAAAGAGGTGGTTTGGTCACAGCTTCTGTACTCCTACACAGGGAGTTCAGACAGTGGGGAGCTCTCTAGTCTGACCAACTTCTTCAGTGCCCCTCAGGGTGGCAAAAGAACGTAGGCATATCTGGGCTGTGTGGAGGCTTTGTAATGGCTAAGTAGCCAGAGAAACTACCCGAGAAGCATTTGCTGGCTTCACTGCAGGAGGTGACTCCTTGAGCACAGAAATGAGTAGGTTTATCTAACAAATGCAGTTGCTCAACCAGGGGACTTAAATTCAGGGGACTTGAATTCAACACAGGACACTTTTTGATCCCGTGGAAGGCAGGAGGACAAACGAGATGGCTGTAATGGCTCCTTCTGCCTCTGACATCTCTGAATGCAAGAAGTCCTCAGGGGCAGCAGGCTGTGAGGGACAGAGTTTCACTGCTCCCTGAAGCATGGAAAAGCCAATGTTTATGTCCATGAAGTGCAGTTTCATGTGAGAAGAATTAGTATAAAAAGATTCTCATCAATTCATCTGAAAGTGGCTGAATTTATTTACTTATGTTGCAGTTGCCCTGAATTTCCAGACAGCAGGCACAGAAATGGATGTCTACCAGGGCCGTTTCCAGGACAATGGGTTTTGTGGGTATGTCTTAAAGCCAGAATTCCTCCGGGATGAACAAACCAAATTCAATCCCAAATCCATCACAGAAGGAACATGGGGGACAAAGAAGAAGCTTCTGCTTAAAGTAAGAATAGAAGTTGGACAATGTCTCAGTAGCATCCACCCTGGGGGGTGGGGGGCATGTACGTTGTACCTTCTCCTGGTTCCACCTGGGCAACGTATCCTAACCCTACTCATTTCCCACGAGTGGGGTCTCCTCTTCAGTCCTAGTGGGCTGTCATCCTCCAGGGGCTTACTCCCATGGTTAATATTCAGCAGTGGGAGGGGTTAATGACAACGTTCACTGTCGTTACAGAACCACAGAGGCAGACATGCACTCAGCAGTCACCACTGTTGTTTCCAGCAATCATCTGATCCCTGTGAGGCCAGTTAGAAATGTTGCCTGTCCCCTAGCCAGCTGGCTGGGCTGCAGCAATGTTCATAAGGTGCTTGGGCTCATGACAACTTCCTCTGAAGGATGTCACCACGCTGGCTCCAGAGGACCAGCACCAGCTTGTCACAGCAGATCCTGCCAGGGTGCCCCCTCTTCTAACGAGGTCCTGACCCTGTTCCTCTGTTTCCTCCACAGATCATCTCTGGTCAGCAGCTGCCCAAGGTGAACAAAAGCAAAAACTCCATCGTTGATCCTAAGGTAACAATAGAGATCCATGGGGTCCAGCAGGATAACAATAAGAAGCAGACCAAAGTCATTGAGAACAATGGTAAGGGGCTTTTTTCCATGCTGTGCTCCCATGGGGCAGTAACCCTCTTGTTTCCTGAAGCAGAGTGTTCCTTGCCAAGACTGCTGCCCTGTGACCACATCTGCCCAGCTGCACCCAAGCTAGCTCACACTGAGCAGATACAGGAAGGGCTGTTGGCCTGTTTCAGTGCAAGGAGCCTGGTTATAGACCATGGTGGCACCAACTAGCCCCACAGATTGATGTCCCTATGGAGAATTACTCTCAGGGGTTCTTTCCTCTCCCTCTAAGATGTTTGGGGATGGAAGTTCCCTGCAAAACAACATCAGCTGTATGAGTTGTTTTGAGGCTGGCTGCCAGAGTTGCAGAGCTACAGTTTTGGAAGTGCCCTTTACCTCCATGCAGTTGGACTTGACCTGGGATACATGGGGCCCCACCAGGATCTTCCCAGAGATGGCTTCTTGTGAGGCTGATTTTATCCTGAAAATGCCACAAATTCACAAAAGCTTGAGGTTGCAAGAGGTTGACTTTGGAGGTGTCTGCTCCAGCCTCTGCCCAAAGCAGGACTGTACTCAGATTTAACTCAGGGTACTGACCACATCAGTTTTGAATATCTCAAAAGATGAAGATTCTCCAGACTCTCTGAGTGATCTCAAGTGATCCAGTCTTTGAGTGACTTCATGATAAAATAAGATACCTTATTTTTAATCAGAAATTCCCCTGTTAAAGTTTGTGCCCATTATACATCAAGCTTTTGCTGTGCACCTGTAAGAAGAGCCTGGCTCTCTTTTCACTATAAGCAGGTAGTGGAAGATGGCAGTAAAAACCCCCTTAGCCTTCTCCAGGTTGAGTAGATTGACCTCTATCAGCCTCTTCTCACAGGTAACATAGTCTGTGCAAAAGGAGAAGAGTCCATGTAGCCCAGAGCCTCCTCACAAAGCAGGGACACTGCCTCTGCTCGTCCTCTTGGCCAAAGTGACACTGATGCTAAATTCATGCCCATCACAGCAATGTTACAGGTGAGGGGTGAAAACCATAAGCCCCTGTCTCCCAGGGGCTGGGCTCAAGCCTTACCCAACACTGACCTCAGAGATCTCACAGGCTTTTCACCTCCCTGTGGACCATTTCTCACGGGCCAAGCATGGCTGTGATTTCCCTGAGTCTGAGTGTTGTGGCCTTCTGGGTTTGTGGAAGGCAAATCCAGCCCTCTCTCCTGTGGGAGTAACCAGGCAGTAGGAGTCTGAGCAACGAGCCCTCACCCTCCTGCTGGCAAATGTACACACACACACACACACACACACACACTGCTCTTCTGTGTGGAGTAAGAGCCAAGCTCTAGAAACCCAGTGCGTATTTTCCTCCCTGCTATCAGTGTTTCCCTTTTCCTCTTTCCTGTTTGAGTAAATCTGGCCTGAGTCCTAAAGCTCACAGCCACTTCTGTCACCTACAGTAATGTATGTTTCTAATGTCTCGAGAGAAAGCTGGGTAGGGAATGTTCCAGACCTGCCAGGCCTGTTCCTCAAGGCTTCTCAGCACACCCTCCCCATGGCTGGCTGGAGGGATGCAGGGGGGATGCTGGAAGGAGTTTTGCCCGATGGAAAATTAAACAAACAATGAAAACATCAGCCTTGGAAAGGGGCAGCTGCAGAGAGGGGGTTGCATTTCACAGGCTGAGGTTTCAGATATGTGACCATGCTTCAGCATCTCACCTGCTTCAATGTTTTCTGGTTGGACTCAGTGATCTTAAGGGTCTTTTCCAATCTAAATGATTCTGTGGCTCTGTGCTGGTGGGCCTGAAGCAGGGGCTGTGGGCATGGCTCAGGTCACAGCAGTGCAGCTGTGGAGCTCGAGAGGCTGTGGGAACCTGCTGGCTCAGCAGCTCCAGGAACCTCACTGTGTCTCTGACATGGGCTGAAAATCCCCCCCAGATGTCAGCACAGTGAAACCTGCTGTTCTAGGGCCAGTGAATTTCCTTCAGCTTGCATCATTTCTGCTCCCTTGGGATCAGCAACACTGGTTTCTTTTTTTTTCCCCAAAGATGGAGTCAGGAGCAGATGTCTGTTATCTGAACAGTCCAGTTGATTTAATCCTGTGAAGGTCCAAAGTGCAGCAACCCAGCACAGGAATTTTTCTATGGCATTGCCTACAGGCCCACCTCAGCACCTTCTGAAAGATCCCTTGCCTCCTGCTGGGTTGTCTGTAGACCTTCCAGGACCAACAGGCTTCAGCTGACATTTTGCTGTCCTTGGCTTCTGCTGGGCACAGGCTGGGCTGGTGGCAGCAGGGTCTCCAACAGGATGTCCTCTCCTCCTGTTTGTTTCTGGGGAGTGGTTTATTGAAACTGCAGAGAGCACTCACTATGACCTGGAGAGAGCACTGAGCTTGCTCTTCATCCCTCGTCTGATGTGACAATCTGGGTTTTGTTAGCCTTGTGAGTCTGGGGCACAGGAGCCTCACCCAGAACAGAAGCAGGGCTCATCTGCCTGTCTCAGACACTGCCTTTATATGGGGACACATAAAACATTTTGTCCACAGACTTGGTGACCTTCCCTGCAGGCAGGGAAACCGAGGCACAGCGTGGTGGCAGATGGGTGTACCTTGAACACTCATGTTCAATGTACAACATGAGGTGTAAGGCCCCAGAGAGGTGTGACAACACAAAGGCACAGCTCTCCTCTCTGCTGCTCTCTGGTTTAGAGCTGTAGATGTTTGCAGCTGGTCCAGTGGCAACCAAAGCCACCCATGTATCATCCAGTGAGAGCCTGGGGAGCAGAGGCGAGTTCAGCTCCCTCCTGCTCCTCACTGCCTTCTGGAGCTGAGGTCTGCAGTGAGCAGCCTGAGCTGAAGGAGTTATTAACACCAGGTAGGAAATCAGTCTCAGAGCTGGGATCGATGGTCTCGGCCCCTCCTGACACCTTTGGCCTGGGTCAGATGAAGTTGGCAGCTGGGCAAATTCTCCTTCTATCTGCAAGCGTCTCTGACCTCTGTTCTTGCTTGTGAGCATCCCTCACTTCCTCCCTTGTTTTTGAGAGCATCTCTCACTTCCTCCCTTGTTTTAGAGAGCTCTGACCTCTGTCCTTGTCTGTATTGCCCAGGCTTTAACCCAAAATGGGACGAAGAGTTTACATTTGACATAGAGATCCCTGCACTTGCCCTGGTCCGGTTTGTGGTGGAAGACTTTGACATGTCGACCAAGAACGACTTCATCGGGCAGTACACCCTTCCCTTCACCAGTCTGAAGCAAGGTAAGCCCTGCTCCCTCTCCTCACAGCCACTGTGCCCTCTGGGGAGCTGCAGGAGTGCTCCAGACCCATCACACCTCAGGTCAGAACAGGGCTCCTCTCTGGGGTGTGGGCAGGATGATAAATGGTTTACTGGACAGCTTTTACCACTGGTTCTGGGGGAAGTCCCCAGTGGCTTTGGGCACAATACGTTACCAATGCTCACAGCCAAGCCTCTCAGACATACCTGTCCTGTGGGGCACTGGCAGCAAAACACTCCAAGAGAGGGAGATGTTTTTGCAAGGTCTTGGCAAATGTTAGGAAATGTTTTTTTCCAGCTGGACTAAAGGCCACGTTCCATCTGGTTCTGTTTCCAGGCTACCGCCACATCCATCTTCTCACCAAGAACGGAGACCCCTACTCCTCCTCCACCCTCTTTGTGTATGTCAACATCCAGGACTGTGATTAGCAGCTCAGCTCCTTCAGGGCACAGTGAACCTCGTTATGGACCTAGAAGGAGTTCAGCCTGCAGAGCCTGCCAGGGGCAGGGTCCTGTCATGTCCCCAGGGCTTTCCCTGGAGCCCCACACGGTGCTCCACAGGACCCCTGATGGGAAACAGCCACCAACCTTCTCCATTCTGCGTGCTGGAAACATCCCAATGCTGCTCTTGAGGTTAATCCTTCTGTACCTGTTTGACCAATCCAGCTGTGGGTTTAGTTCACTTTATTTCATGTGATTTTTTTAAAAATTTTGCTTTTAGCCAGAGGATGGGGACTCCTTTTTAGCAAAGTACAGCTCTTGGGTTGGGTTCAATCAGACATTTGGGCAAAACACCCAACATCTGCTCAAGAAAAAATCCACCCCACTGCTGAAATCGGTGACCAGGTGCCAGGTGGCTTCTTGCAACTTCAAACACCAGCCATCTTTCACCATATGAAGCCTTAGACAGGGACACAAATTCCTCTTTTCTGTTACAGACTAAAAAAAAAGCAAGCTGCACTACAAAGGCCCGTGTTATATAACTCAACTTTCCTTTTGTAGCATAATGAAAAATAGATGAACACTCCTCTGCCCGGGTTCTGGGCTCTCTGCCAGGGCACTTCACATTCCAAGCCAGGCTCCTGTCCTGTGCAGGAGAAAGAAGCTGCTGAAGAGCAGATTTCCCTCTAACCCAGTGAGAAACCCTCTCAAAGGGACCTCGGAGAACATCTTTTGCCCATGACAGTGGAAACACAATCAACTGACAGCAGGGCTTTTGTTTTTTTCCATGCAGTAAAACTTTGTGTTTTTATAGAGAAGAAGTCACTTTTTTTAAGGCAGAGGAAGCTGCAGTAGAAGCTGTTGTGAATGTTAGCCTGGTCCCAGTGGCACTGTGGAGGTGACCTGGTGCAGAGTGTTTTGAACAGCAGCACAGTATTTAAGGCAACAAGTGATTTTTCTTCAAGTACAGCTACAGAGTTAAGGGAATGCTGTTGAAATAAAATAATATATATTTTGAAGTACCAACTATGTTACTAACAACATTAGACTATTAAAAGTAAAAACAAAAAAATTAAATCTGGAAAAGTCCAATTACTTGTCACTATTTGCCTCCTTGTCTCACCCATGCAGTTGGAGACAGACCTGCTTGGTTTCCCAAAGCTCTCTGTCTATCTGGGGGGTTCATGGCTGGTGGTGGAGAGGATGGGCTGCTACTAAAGAGGTTAATATCCTTTATTAATATCCTTTTTAACAAATTCCAGTCCACTCACTCCCCCACCTACTTTTGAGTCCGAAATAGCCTGGATTTAACCATCCTGGGGCCTGCTGCAAAACTGGGTTTCATTTAGTCCTACCTGGGGTTTGTTGTGCTGCAGTGATCACTGTTGGACATGTTGATCTTCCCTCTTCACTGCAGTATTGTTTGATGTTGTAAAGCACTGCTGGATTAAATGTGAACTATATCCACAACTCAAAGGTCCCTACTGAATTCACAGTCAGCAGCTGGAAGAGTTCAAGAGTGGCAGAGGCCACCAAGGCAGAAGAGGGTGTCCTGCAGTGATGGGGACTCTGTCTCAGCTCGCCTCTGGGATGGGGCATATTCCATCAGGAGGCACAGTGGAAGGACAAGGCTGGAGCAGCTTTGGCTCCAGCTCAGGGACAGCCTGAGTTTGGTCCCTGCTCCCAGGATGCTCTGAGCATTTTAAGGAGCTATGGGATGAAAAGGATGAATGAAGGACACCCAGGACTTCCCTGTAGCACACAAGGAGCTTGCACCATGTGGCTGGAGGGCAGGTGTGATCAGAATCATTCCCACCCCCTGCCTTTTGTCAGCATCAGCTCTTGGGGGACAAGTTGGGTCAGGTTGCTGAGTTGGCCAAGAGCAAATTATTTGTGGTTTTTATTGTACATTTAGATTTCAGTTGGACTACTGAGCTAAACCAGCCCTCACTTGCCTGCTGTGTCCAGCTCTAGAGAAGTGGGGGACAGGGAGGAGGGAGAGACCACACTCTCCAGGGCAAGGGTAGACTTGGATGGACTCCACAGGGAGGACAGGGTTTCCTCTGCCTATTCCTGTTGAGCACTTTACTAAAGGGAGGCAAGAACCATGGGAAGAGAGAACATCCCTCATTGGGTGGGCACAGCTGGGGGGAAAACTGCTGGAGCCACTGGGGAAGTAGCTGAGATGGATGGAGCAGAGCACGAGGGACAATGCTGCAAGGTCTCCTCTCTCCCCAAAGGAAAGGACATGGTCCCTGCCTTTACCAAGCACTGGAGCCCCACTGCTAGGGAAGAGCCCTGGTGACAGAGTAGCAGGAACAGGACATGGCCCACCAGACACCTCAGAGAAAGCAGCAAGTGGCCTGAAAGGGGGAATGTGGGTGAGAATCTCTCCTTCAGCAATCAGAGAGAGAGTAAAACTAACACTAGCCATGAGAAAAGGAGAGCAGCAGCAGATTCCAACAGCCCCAAATATCAGAAGGACCAATTAAAAATCTGTAAGAAGTCAGCAAAATCCCCTTGCTGGTTCCCAAGTCCTGGCAGAAGTGCTCCACTCAAGTGTTGGTGAGCATCGTGGCAGCAGTTTTTTAGGAATTCAAACCATTTGTACTAAAGTGTCCTAATCTCCCTGATCCAACTACATTTCTACTGACCTCCATGATGCTTGTGGGGCCTACAGCCAGGGCTGGTAGGTGGCATTGCTGCCTTTTATTGAGGAGAAGATGCAACCTGTTAATTTGGGAGCTGGCAGGCACATGCAATGCAAATGGTGGTGCTTCCAGCAGAGGCAAGAGAGGCTGGAACAGGGGTAACGTGCACTGCCTGCAGCCAGCATCAACACAGCAGGAGAGTCCTCCAGAAGAGTCCTCTGACTTGGGTCTCTCCTTGATTCTCACCTTACTCTGCATGGGAGGGTGCTTCAATAGGTTTTGGGCTGGACCCTCAAGCAGAAATGGGGCAAAGTGGTGGCAGGAGCATGGAGGTAACAATGGGGTTGTTGCTTACTTCAAGTAACTACCAATTCTTAAACAGAAAAGATCTGCCCAGAAGAGCCCCATGGCCTGGGGGTCCCTGCCTCTAGTGCAGCCAGGTGGTGACACTGCACCACTGCTGTGTGGGCCCAGGTGCTGAGTGAGAGGTCCTTGTTCCTCAGCAAACAGCTGCCTCCATCCCCAGAAACCTGCAGCAGGGGTGGCCAGTCAGGCCAACTGCTGAATGGCCAACAACCCACCATGGGCAATGGGGGGGCTTCAGAAGTGGGGTACACAGGCATGGGGAGACATGGTCCTTGCTATGTGGGGTTTGGGAACAGAGAGAAGGCTCTTCTGCTGACTGCTTGTCAGGTTTAGAATGATACTACCACCAACAGGCAGAGCAGCAGCCAAACTCCTCCCTCTGCTCCCACATCACACCCCAGAGACCCAAAGTGCCAGCCAGCCAGAGGAGGAACAAGTCCCTGCACTCACCCACCACAGGGGACATGGAGAAGGGAGCAGCCAGGAGAGGAGCCAAGCCAGGGGAGATGGGAGCAGCCAGGCCAGGAGCCCAGGGATAGAGCAGGGGCTCAGAGACAGCTTCATGTGCTGGCCCTGCCATCCTGGGAACTCCACTGGTCATGAAGAGTCAGGGATCCCTTCCCAGAGCCAGAACCCCACACAACACATATATAAACAAACCTCCCAACCCCCCTGCCAGCAGAGTCAGCTCTTATAGAGGTGGCTTCTTGCCCCACCCCCAAGTCCATGTGGAAGGTGGGGGCACCTGGTGGTGATCTCCTCATCAGTCCCCACCCAAGGCTGGCCAGACCCTGGGTGAAAACCAGTCAGGAGGGGCTTTCTTACCTGGTTGTGGACATCATCCGTATGCCAGCCCTCATTCAAGGTTTAACTTCAGGGAGACAACAGGGAGAACAAACCTCCTCAGTTTGTTCCTTTCTTTTCAAAAAAATCCCAAATCCCATTAAAGACCAGATGTTTGAAGGATCTGTGGCCCTGCAGAGCTTTTTTCTGCTGCCATCCTACCCCACGTGCTGATCAAGGACACTGACAGTGTTGCTGCTGGCTGTTTATTTGGAATCACTGATCAGGTTGGAAATGGAGTAAAGATGCAAGACCACATCTTCTGAGGTTTTAAACACATATGTTTCTTTCTTTAGCTTACAGTCATATCCCTTCACATTCTCCCTGCTCTCCCCAATCAAACACTGCTCATGGTATGGAATGACCACCTATAGCCCCACAGACATCACAGGGATGGAGCCCTGATAAAACCTTCAGTGGGACATAATCTGCCTCAGGTCATACCCAAAACCACCCTGGCTTCCTCAAGCCTCTGGTCTGCAGGCAGGTGGACTCTCATGTTCACCCAGTTGTGCTCAGAGAGGCCTGGTGAGATGGGAGATGCTGTCTGAATGAGAAAAGAAACAGTCAGTGTCTCGTCTGGCAGTCAAAATCAACATCATCAGCCTCTTGAAACAGATCAGCTAATAAAGATCTTCTAAATAAGTGGGTGTTTTGCAAGCCAGGCTCTCATTTGTTTGACCTGCACTGGGCTGTGCACATTGGGCTAAACTGATTGTTGCTGTTCTTTGGCAAGTAGTTTTTCTGCAAGGTGAGAAGGGGCAGGACTGGCTGGGGTCACTCCACGGGCTACCTCGTCCCACATCTGGCTACCCCATTACATTTTTCCTCACCTCAAGGCTCCCCCTCTGTCCTCCTAAGGTTTCCCCCTGATCTTCTCACCCAGAATTTACACAGCAGCTGCAAGTGGCCTTTGTCTTGACTAATTTTAAACTTCTACATATGGAGGAAGATCATGACCTTGTGCATGGGGCAATTTGCAAAAGGGAGAGGAAAGAAGAGGCTACAATATGGTTGTGTGACACACACACTTGTCTTCATGGCTATGAGCAATAAAGTGTCAAAAAGAGGCAAAACCTTCCTGCCACGTTGTTCCTGCAGAAGGAAAGCTCCTGCCTCCTGATGTTTGGGGTTTGCAAGGAGAAAGGATCCACGCCCTGAACGGTGGCTGCTGGAATAATTGCATTGGAAATTGGCCTGATTAAGATGTGGGGTTGGGTTCATTGAACAAATGTCTGTACTTCTTCCCTGAAGCTCCTAAGAGAGTGAGGGTTGGCCCCAGAGTCACTGGATGCTGCATGGTCCCTGCTGTCTCAGAAGAGTCCATATTGCTTCTTCTCATTCTGCTGCTTCCATTTGGGCATCTGGTAGAACTCGTCCTTGGACTTCCCAAAGATATCATGGAAGTCAGCATCAGAGAGATAGCACTGCATGGGAAGAGAGAGCAAGCAGAGGTCAACTTTGGCTCCTGCAGAAGCTTGGACACTTCCACCATCTGCATCCCTTCCCCACTGTGCCAGTGCTGACCCCTGACTACAGGCCAACAGTTCCTGTCCTGCTGCCTGTCCTCATGGTGGGAAATGGGACATCCCAGCAGCTGTTCCTCATCCTGCTCCCAAAAGGGCCAGGGGAGTAAAAGTTCACCAGCCCAAAGAGATGCTCTGGTTCTGAGAGGTTTGCATACTCTGGAATCTGGTTCCTGCTAATCTTACTGAGGCCAGGACAACTCATGATGCATTGGAGAAGTTCTGCTGGCCAAAGTTTTAGGGGGTTTCTTAGGCAGTGATTCACAGGGAAAGCATCTCTCCTTCACTCAGTTTTCCTCTGGACTGGAAAACCAGAAAGTTTTGTAAATAGTGGGCACTATTTTCTTCATGTTTCCCCTGAATTTTGGGTAGAAGACAGCACTCGTGCAGCCCAGCTGAAACGCAGCCACCAGCACATGGGCAGTGCCGTGGGGCAGAGCTGCTGGCCCAGCTCTGGATCAGCTCTCTGGCTATGGGTGCTGGCCTGTGCCAGGAGGTCTGTTGGGACAAGAAATTGGTCAAACTTGGGTTGTAGAGAGTAGAGGGGAATCAGTCCCTTGTGTCCCTCCCATTGCTCCCCTTGGCTTGCTTGGACTCAGCTCCAGATGCTGCCAAAATCCTTGGGCTGATCAGACATGTGAGATGTGGCATTCCTCCCTGTCCCTGGGTGGCATTTCCTGAAATCCAAGCTTTCTGACCAAAAAAAAAAAAGGCAAAGGTCCCTTCTAGAAGGAGTTTCAAATGAAAAGAAATGCCCAGAGCCTGCACAAAATGCAGCTCCTGCCTTCATTCTCAGCTGTGTCACCTCTCACAGGAGCTGCACTTTGGATTTTCTCTAACAGAAGAAAATATTTTTTTTTAAAAGAGTATTTAAAGTTCACTTTTCTGACATTAAAAAAAAAAAGAGAAATAAATACTCAGCTAGGGTAAAACTACCACAACTTCCTCTCACATGAAGCTCCTATTTTCTGCTGAGACCTCTGTGTCCAGCTGGTATCTTCCTTGAGCCTGAAGCAGAACTTAATAGTCTAAAGTCCTAGTGCACCTCCCCGATTCCTAAGTTCCAGGTTAAGCTACAAAAGCATCAAACCAACAATGCTGTCACCTCTTTCTTAGTGGGATCCACATCTTCTGGAAGCTCATCCACTGTCTTGTGCATCAGCACTTCTCGGGAGTAAATTCCCTCCCCGTTGGGCACCAGGGAAGGGCTGCTGTTGCTGTTGTAGTTGCTGTTGCTGTTGTAGTTGTTGCTGTTGCTGTAGCTGTTGCTGTCACTGTGGTTGAGGTGTGACTTATACTCTGGGGAAGCACTTGCTATACTTGAACCAGCCAAGCTGGTCGTGCTGAGCGTCCTCTTGTTCAGGTTGATGTTGTTAAGGTCCTGCCAAATGGAGGAAAACATGTCAAGACAAGAAACTCTGGTAGAACATTTTGGGGGTTATCCCAGGATCTCTCTCTCTGGACTGGGGAGGGTTTGGACTCTTTCTAGCACTGACTATTTGTTGATCTTTACCCAAAGCAGCAAGAAGAAAGTCCAAACTAAAACCTTAGTCCAGTTCCTCCATCAGTGTTACATCTTGATGCTAGGCCTGCTAAACATGCCACACTGATGAGAGTCCTTAGAAATAACAGAAAATACTGACAATAGTCTCAAGGTAACAGCAGGGGAAGGTGCATGTGGGAGGACACAAAGTGAGATTAGATATCTACCATGTCTAAATTCCCTGTGTCCTCCTCCCCCAGATGCCATCTCTTTGTTCAAAGCCCCCACCACTACCTTCCCACCTTCCTCTTGCCCCTATCAGGGCAGAACTGATCCTTTATGACAATCACATTTGGGGCAGTTGGGACCTTGTTTCCTCTGTCCTTTGTAGGATCTCCATTTGTGCTTCACCATTCTTGCCCCTGGCCAAGAATGAGGTCCCCATGCCCACCCTGATCATGTCCTCTCCTTTGTGCAAACAGGCTGGGAGATGTGTTGATGTTTAAATTTTCCCTCCCATGTGCTTGAGAAGCAACTCACCACTTTGATCTCAGATATAGCTGACACATCTCCTAAGCTGTTCTTCATCTCCTCGTAGGACTTGCCATCCTAAAGGTAAAAGAGAGTTGTAAGAAGCACAGGCTGCCTTTAATTAGCACATGTTCCTGTTCTCTGATGAGGTCAGAGAATCATAGAATCACTAGGGTTGGAAAGGACCTCTGGGATCATAAGTCCAGCCTTCCTCCCAAAATTTCCCTAACCACTAGACCACAGCCTCAAATGCTACATCTACTTATTTTTTGAACAACTCCAGGGATGGTGACTCCACCACCTCCCTGGGCAGCCTATCCCAGTGCCTCACCACTCTCTCAGGGAAGAAATTCTTCCTACTCTCCAATCAAAACCTCCCCTGGTGCAACTTGAGGTCATTTCCTCTCATTTTATCACTAGTAGTTTGGGAGAAAAGACCAACACCAGCCCAGGAGATCATATGAATTTTAAAGCCCAGTGGTGCCCACTGAGGTGGCAGCTGATGCCTCCTGCAAACCCCAGCTCCTGGAATTAGTGGACTGCCAGAATCTGAACTTTCACTTAAAAACAAACAAACAAACAAACCAAACAAGAATTTAGAAAACTTCAGAAAGCAGAAGGTGAGTGAAGAGAAATCATATTTACTGCTGGATTTAAATCTTTTAAATTTTAGATGAATCTTGCAAAGCATGAAAATTTGGGATAAAATTTTGGGATGAAATAATACTCCCTTCCTTGACTCATTTAACCAAAGCAACAGATTTTTCAAAGCCTTGGTCCTTGACTTCTTGTAATTTGGTGCCATACATTACCAGCTGCCTTGATTTCCTGAGGAAGGACTGCACTAGATCTACTGGCACAGCCCACGCCTGTGCTTTCCCAAGCAGCCAGGAGATGTCAGTTCTTAACAGAATCATTCAGCAAAGTTCCTCAACAAGAACCAACAACACAAACAAACACAAGGACTGCAGAGCAAACGGATTTAGACCCAAAACTGAGCAACGAACACCCCCCCCAGATGTTTCTGGTCCATCAACAGTTTGGGTTTGCTTGTCTGGAGTTGCTGAGGCTGCCCACTGAAATATTTTAGAGGCACATTTTTTTTTATGAGCTGTGTCCTTGTTTTTCAGCAGTTTCTCAGGAAAAAAAAAACAAAAGCAAAACCAAAACAAGTTTTGACCTTTGTTCTAAGCATCAACAGAGGGTTTTAAGGGTCAGTGCTCTGGGAGTTGCTGTCTTATCTGTCCAAATCTTTCTGTCAAGACAGGCTCTCTGCCACCACACCGGCTGCAAAGACAGACGATGCAAAGCCAGTTAAAGAAAATAAAATATCTCTGTATGAGTTTTTGTGCAATGTGGAGTCCTTGGAGACCTTCACACCACTGTCCTGGCTGTCCCACCTCCAGGCTCCAGCATGGGACTTCACTCACAGTCCTTTGGACAACCAGAAGAAGTGATTGCTTGTGAACTGGTTGAACAGTGACATTGAAAAGAAGAAAACAGGAGAGCGATGGGACAATCTGGCAGCCCAGTGGGGAAGGCTTTGGGGATGCACCACTGGGGAGCTGAGCTTTGCCCAACAACCCAGCATCTTCTGCCTTTTTTTTTTTTTGCAATGCTTCCCTTAAGCCCTGCACACCAGTGCCATCGGGTGGCAGGGATTCAGGTGCACAGCCTGGCAGCATTGC